TAATAAACCAACTTTAATTCACCTCTGCCAACTGGTCTCTGCATTTGGGTCCTCCAAACAAACACCGCTTCATGACAGAAGGATCCAGCCACAGCCACATGGACCCAGCAGAGAACCAGGCATGTGAACTCCTCAGAGCTCCCCATATACAGGAGTCTGATCTCTGGAGCTTTTTTTATGGGGAGAGAGAAGATTTTTTTTGTACATGCCACCGCCATCAGCTCCAAGAGCCCTTCAGCGGGGGCTCCGAGCCTCCAAGGACCCTCAGCGGGCGCACCAGGCCTCCAAGGCCCCTCAGCGGGCGCTCAAAGCCTCCAAGGCACCTCAGCGGGTGCTCCAAGCCTTCAAGGCCCCCTCCATGGTGGTTCCTGTGCCGCAGTGGGTGGCCCCTTCGGAGGCTGTACCTGTTCCTGAGCCGCAGTGGGTGGCCCCGTCCGAGCCTGTTCCTGTTCTTGAGCCGCAGTGGGTGGCCCCGTCCGAGCCTGTTCCTGAGCCGCAGTGGGCGGCCCCGTCTGAGCCTGTTCCTGATCCGCAGTGGGCGGCCCCGTCTGAGCCTGATCCTGAGCTGCAGTGGGCGGCCCCTTCCGAGCCTGTTCCAGAGCCGCAGTCGACGACTCCCTCTGAGCCTGTTCCTGAGCCGCAGTCGATGGCCCCCTCTGAGCCTGTTCCAGAGCCGCAGTCGGCGGTCCCCTCTGAGCCTGTTGCAGAGCAGCAGAAGCGGAGGCGGCGTCCTCCTCGGTGCTTCCTGCTGAAGCGGAGGCGGCGTCCTCCTCAGTGCATCCTGCTGAAGTGGAGGCGGCGTCCTACTAGGTGCATCCTGCTGAAGCGGAGGCGGCGTCCTACTCGGTGCATCCTGCTGAAGCGGAGGCGGCGTCCTCCTCTGAGGTTCCTGCAGCTTTGGAGATGCCGGCCTCCAGAGCGTCTGTCTCGCCTCCGGCCCCGCAGCTGGCCTCCAGAGCGTCTGCCTCAGCTCCGGCCCCACGGCCGGCCTCCAGAGCGTCTGCCTCAGCTCCGGCCCCACGGCCAGCCTCCAGAGCGTCTGTCTCGCCTCCGGCCCCGCGGCCGGCCTCCAGAGACTCTGCCTCACCTCCGGCCCGACGGCCGGCCTCCAGAGACTTTCCATTGCCCTCGCCCACCCTGGGTGGGTTGTTTTTGTTTTCAGACTCTGTTTTGTTTTCGTGCCTGCCTAACTGGTCTCCCCTCCGCCCACCCTGGGTGGGTTGTTTTCTGTTTTTGGACATTTTAGGGTTTCTGGGATCCGCCCTTAAGTGGGGGGTACTGTCAGAGTCTTGGTCTGTTTGTTCCTGTTTTTCTTGGTTTTCCATTTGTTGTCCTCTGCTGCCCTCTTGTGTCCTCCCTTGCTCTGTTTTTCTGTTCTGCCTGCACCTGTTTTCAATTTCCTCGTCAGCTCTCTCTTTGTCTCTGTCCCCTTTAAAAGCCCTCCCTCTTCAGTTCCTGTTTGCTGGATCCTCGTCTAACATCTCGTCAAACTTCTGTCTGTGTTCCTCGTCTCTCCCTGGCTTCTAGTTTTGGTTTACCCCTGATGTCTCCTTGGTTCTGGTACGTTTGTTATTTTCAGTTGGACTCTGATTCCTGTTTCTGGATCTGTGAACCTAAATAAACAGACTTTAATTCACCTCTGCCTACTGGTCTCTGCGTTTGGGTCCTCCAAACAAACACCGCTTCATGACCCACCAAGCTGTCAAATATAAGCCATTGCTGAAGCTTTTAAAATGTATATGCCTTTTTTTGCTTAAACTAATGAATGGGAGATCCACAACACTAATATTAGATGAGACAGACTGTTCTACATCTAACCAGGACTCATCTTGTGAGCTGTTCTTTAGCAATTCAGAAATTCATTGTAGCCTATGTGGTGGGAATTTTGGCAGATCATCCTCCTTTTTTCTACAGTAACATTTTCAAGGTAACAGGAATCTCCCTACTCAGCAACGGGGGGCTAAGTATGCTTGAGGACCCAAAAGCAGAGATGAGTGAGGCAGAGTTCTTGTACATTTAATTCAAAGTGAGGCGAACATCCAAAATACAAATTACGGGGAACCAAAAACCATTAAACCACTAAACATCAAGGAAAACTCACAAGGAAAGCCAGAGACGAGGAAGCAACTAACAATCAACTAAACAACAACAAGAAACCAGCCCTGAGTGACTGCAGATGTGGAGTATATAAGGGGAACAGAACAAAGGATGGGCTTATGAGCAGAATATGGAGAAGGTATGAGTGGAACTAACAAGAAGGGAGACAAGGGGGAAGGAAACAACCATAACATCCCTACTTTTTGTTATCACTGTATAACATTTTGCCAGTAAACCTAAAAGCATTCATGACAAGGACTCCCACACACCATCTTACTTATAAACAGTACCGCTCTGCATCAGGAAGTAAAACATGAGCCTCGAGGCAGTCCATCAGATCGTTTTAGCTTTTTATTTTAATACAATGATCTGTGTACTGATAATTAATAGCCAAACGGGCAATATTAACTATAAATTCAGTAGTTCTGACAAATTTTTTTTTTACTGTTTTGTCTTTGAGTTGCCAGTTTCGTTTGGAGCTGCTGCTGGATACTACAAACAGCTCCTTATATGGTCAATGCAACCTCCTACGTGGGTCACACCATTTCTTGTAATAGGGCTGGGAGGATGGTCATTTGTTTAGATATTCTATGTATTCAATAGTTCTACTTGTTACATTTTAAACCGGTATTTAAACCAGTGTTTTATATATAAATGATGGGCCCTAAAGCAAAAACACTGGCAAGTCTCTGAATCTAGAATTCCGCACCTTGGCATCAGCCTTCAGTTGGGACACAGGTACACTAAAGACATTTTTCCAGTCCTTTGATGAGTCCTTAAAAGACAACGTTGCCCCCTGGTTTATTTACTTTTGGGCTATCACTTATCATCTTGTACTATTCTGCAAAAATAAAGGATTGTCAGGCGCACTGTTCCACCTCATTGCAACCCTAATGTTTCATTATTCCAACTAGTCTCCACTTCAACCAGCAAAGGTTAGTTATCTGCTTTGATCAAGTGAACAGAGTTTGGTTTCTCGGGCTCAGGTCGAAACCAAACTGGTACCTACTACCCACTAGATAGTAAGCCCATGCACAGAATCACACTGTGATAAGAATCGGCCATCAATCTCTTAACTGGAGTCGCCTTTATAAGATTTCCTTTACCGAGAAGAAGGCGATGGAAATGTACATCAATGAGTCACTAGCCACAGAAATCATTAAACCTTCTTTGTCTCCCTTAGGTGCCAGGTACCTAAAGGAGACAGGATCAATACCATACTGTAGGCCTAGCATTGTTTAACGGGGCTGGACCAAATAATCGTAAAGAATAAATGCACTCTGCCTCTCATTACTTCTACTCTTGAACTCATGCACTGCTCTTGAGTTTTCATAAAATTAGATCTCAGAAACCTTACCACATAGTTTGGGTTAGAAAGGGAGACGAATAGAAGATTTGGGATTAATAAAGTATCATTAAATTTAAATGAATAACTTTTTTTAAACTGTTTTACTTTATTTGTTTCCGTTTTTTTGGAATTAGCACCAGATGATTCATGAACACAAAACAAAGTCTTCATAATTATTAAGATTTCATAATCTTTTCTAATTATCCCAATGCAGTTCTTTTGACTAGCATGGCAATATGTCCATAAATGATAGTTAAAAGTCTACAGATTATTTTATTTTTTTATTTTCCTAAGATAAACATTATTTGTAGAACGAAATCTGATCATTTACAGTTTTACTGACGAAAAACTGTTCCTGGAAATCTTGGACTGAATTCTTTAATAAATAAATAAATCCTAAAAAAAAAAGGTTTTAATTCAATTAAACTTTTTTTTTTCTACATGTCAATTTCTCATCATGTCTTATGCTAATGAATCCGATATCATACACTGTCTCATCTTTTGAGCTGAATAAATCATTTCCACCTATCATTTTATCACCTCCAAACAAAACAAGCCAATAGCTAAACTTAAACACATTAATCTCTAACAAATCATTTTTCCAACTGCAAAAGTTTTACTGAACCTGCATCTTTGAACAAAGAAAGTGATGTACTTACAGACTACGCACATCATAGGGAGCCAAATGTTACCCATCCTCACATCCAACACTGGTGATGAGACAATGCTTCAGAAAATTAGATATACTTTACAAATTTTTGGCTGGGATAGTGTCTATGGTCACTTCTTAGAATGAGAAAAGCTCTTATGCTGAGGATTTTTTCTTTACTGTCTTTTTGGTCCTTTCTTTTCTACTGCACAGTACTCACGCCACTGCTGTGGTTTCCTGTGTAACAAATTAGCATTTCCTGCAATGCATTTCCTGATGTGTTGATTCTCATAGTTCTTTCTCGTCACACAATAAAACTTCTTTGAGGTGGAAGTAATCAATATACTTTTCTTTTTCACAGACTCTTTTTTTTCATATGGGGATACTGCTCTATGATTTGAACACATATTTTGAAGCTCACCACAGTCTTACATAGCAATTCACCACCTTCCGACATTTTCCTATTTTGTCCCATTACTGCCACAAAATTCAGCTAAAGTTTTAGGTAACAAACCAATCCAAACTAGCAAATACTTCTGAAGTAGAAGACAATGTGACAGTTTTTTTTTTCTTCTTCTTCTTTTTCATTGATTTGCATAAAGGGAAGACATGTGAATGGTACATTTGACCAATTTTGCCATTGACTGATTCCTAAAGCTAAACTGTTGATCTATGCATTTCCTCCAGAGTTACAAAGGGCTTTTGACGTTTTTCTAATCAATCTTCCCAGTCCATTATAGATAAATTCTGATCATTTTCATACGATGAGTTGTTTTTCAAAAATAGTATGTCATTTGGCATATTTATCACAACCTAGCACTGTTTCCTAATAGGGTCTTGGTCTTGTTTTGCTATTAGCCTCTAAAGTGTCTTGGTCTTGTTTTGTTCTCGACCTTGTAAGATCTTGGCCTTGTCTTGTTCTCAGTACTCCTTGGATTCGATTGTTTGCTAACTTAGACAAACCAAGGCTTCATAAGGTTTTTGTTCCTCTCTTGTTCTCGGTTGTTGGCTAAATCAGACTCATCAAGACCGTATAACATCTTGGTCTTGTCTTGGTCTCAGCCTATAAAGGTCTTGGCCTTGTCTTGGTCTTGGTACTCCTTGGTCTCGGTGGGTGTGGTCTTGACTACAACACCAACAAGCAATTTGAAAACAACCAATCATACATTAATCATGCTCTCTTTGATCTCAGTGCATACAAATCTGCTTTTTGCAAGAGTTTATTTTTCAACGTTGGGTCATAAGAAATTTGCGACAAAAAGAGTTTGACGATGTTGCGAACTTGTCAAACATCACATGTTGAACTTACCCGTCTTATTATTTGTTTGGGTTTTTTAATCTGATTTAACATAGTCTGGATAAGATAAATTAGCTTTAATAGGCCCTGTAAAGTAAAGCTCTTAAAGTTTTCTCTCCCTGATTCTTTCCTGAGAAGAGATCACTTGGGACAAACTCTTTACATAACACTTCATAAAGTATATGTACAGTATTGATTAACTATGAGACATGACAACAGATTTGGATAGAAATTGAAATCTTACTCAGACCAGAATAGTTGCTTAGGCCTACAAAAAACACTGCTTATCAACCCTGCTTAGCAACAGTCCTGATGTTAAAGTATGGCGTGAACCTGATGTGTATATTATGCTGCACAGGTGCATTGGGGTCATCTATTTTCATTCATGAAGAGCATATATATGCAAATATATTGCGAAACAAGTATAATTTACACCAAGCACATTGAATGCCCTCACACACACATTGACTACTGGTACTGCTGAGCTGCAAGAAGTCAGCATCCCAAAAAAACATGACAAATCAATTGACGGTGTTATGATGTTGCCCAAATGCTCTACCTTAATAGGATATTTCTTTCACCTGCCATTTTGCCTCCCTGCCGCATTTATCATTTATTCCTTTCACCTGTTTCCTTTGGTTTATATTCTGTTCAGCCTAAGCATTCATGGCCAGATCATTATTTGTTTTCTGTTAGCCTGTCTGTTCAGTTAATGTCACGGTTTATGTCCTGGATCCTGGCAGCCAGTGGAAAGAGGGTTTTTGTGTCTGTCTCACCTTAAATACTGGATCCATCTGTCCCGTTTTATGACAGTGGTTAGTGTTTTTGTTAGGGTGGTTTGTGAATTATAAATTGTTCTACTTTTATTCAGGGACAATAACGATTATTTATTCGGTCATTCAGAGGCAAGCCATCTCGCCCAATAAGCTGAGAATTAAAACAAACTGATCTACTTTTTGGTGCTTTGTTAGTACAGATTTGAGTAGTTCAAACTGTTACTTGTGCTATTTTGAGTTTTTGGATTTCAAATTTCAGCCAATGGTATCACCATCTAACCAATCAGAACCAGGCGCCTCCTGGTGGAGGAAGGGAGACAAACACAGAAAAACACACACACAGACAGGAATCCTGACAACTGGTGAGTTTCTTCAACTGCTTGACATGATTAAATAAAATTATAAAAACAGCCTGTCACTTGGAGTTTTACATCTCATCCATATCTAGCTGATAAATATGGATGTAGCTAATGAGGCCTTTGAAATTGAAGTGTATCTGTTCTTTACCAGATTAATATGCTGTGTAGCCTATACGTCGTATCAGTCTGGCAGGCCTAGCTACAGTACCAGACCCTAACATTGTACTTTGTTAGCATGAGTCAGAGCTTGTGTGGGAGACTGAACGTTTTCACACCAAGTTTATCTTTTAAAGTTTATAACAATTGTGTGAAAGCTGGTGCACTGAAGTTTCAATTCATGTTTTGTGTGTATGCAGGCTGTATAAGCTGTTGCTTATATAGTTGACTATCTTCTTACAATATTAAGGTCTAAATTTTCTTTTTCTTTTCATGCCTTGTTTCTGTTGCTTGTTCCTTAACCTCCTCTGAATCTGACACAGGGAGGGGATTAATCTTGCATCTGTGGTTCAAAAAATTGCATGACATCCTTAGCAGCCACGAGGGGCTGCAGAATTATTGTAATTATTCACATATATAAGTCAGGCGTGTGTTAGTGACTAGAAATTTAAAACATGCAGGGCAGTTGTACCTGAGGATCAGGATGGTCCTCAGGTACAACGTGAGTGTATGTGAATGTGAATAATTAAAATAATTCTGCAGCCCCTCGTGGCTGCTAAGGATGTCATGCAATTTTTTGAATCAGGTGTGCTGCAACAGAGAGAATCTCAGCACCAGAATTACCTATAATGAAGCAGCGATTTTCTGTGAGCATTGCAACAATCTGACAACCACAATTGAACAACCTTGCAATGAATAAAAAAAAATCGGCACAAGGCTTAATAATGCAACAATGTGCCATGGGCACCAGACAATCCTAGACATGGTAGACAAATATATAAATAAGATTTTATTGAAGGCAAAACCAGCAGAAATAGTTTACTGGTGAGTTCCTTTAACATACTGTCATGGTTAAAAAAAAATTACAAAAACAAAAGCTTAGCTTGAAGATTTACTTCTCATACATATTTACCCAATTGGTTCTTGGCTGATGAGGCTGACCCCTTTGGTCCTGCCTTTGAAATGGAAGTGTATTACATGAAGTGTACCAGATGAAAAGTGCGCATTCAGCGTCTGCTCTGCCGATAATGCAAGCGTAGAAGAAGAAATGTGCTGTTTACCTGTGCAAAGAAAGAAACAACGAAAGAAAAATGTCCGAGGACTTCAGTGTTGAGGAAGAGCATGAGTTCTTTGCCAAGCTGAATGCGCACTTTCATCTGGTTTGGTCTGCCGCGGTTTCCGTAGAGTCGTGAACTCGCATGCGCGCGCTTTGAGGAAATCCTATACACTACTGTTTATGCTCTAAAAACATTCTAAATGACTTTGTTTCGAGTAAATTATGGACGCTACCCACTCCGGACACTTGGAATACATTGGACGAGCAGTATGAAGGAATATTGACACTTTTTGTGGACTTTCATGGACCTTTCTGCCTCGGGCGCCATAGACCTCCATTATTTGAATGTCAGCAGACAGCAAGAAGCCTCCCAGATCTCCAGATGCATTTGAGATATCAAAAAAGTACTCCAGAGTGTTGTTCAGCATGGGGGTGAGTAGAAAATGAAGGCTAATCATGTTTTGGATGTACTATTCCTTTAACAGTGTACGTTGTAAACATGATTCAGAGTTTGTGTGGTGTGAGACTGCACATTTTCACACCAAGTTTATTTTTTAAAGTTTATGACAATTGTGTGAAAGCTGTTGCATGCAAGTTTCAATTCCTGTTTTGTGTGTATGCAAGTTTTATAAATAGACCCCGCTGTATACATTGTATCAGTCTGGCTGGTTTGGCCACCAGACCCTAACAGTGTACCGTGTAAGCATGAGTCAGAGTTTCTGTGAGAGACTGCACATTTTCACACCAAGTTTATTTTTTAAAGTTTATGACAATTGTGTGAAAGCTGTTGCATGCAAGTTTCAATTCCTGTTTTGTGTGTATGCAAGTTTTATAAATAGACCCTGCTGTATACATTGTATCAGTCTGGCTGGTTTGGCCACCAGACCCTAACAGTGTACCGTGTAAGCATGAGTCAGAGTTTCTGTGAGAGACTGCACATTTTCACACCAATTTTATTTTATTTTTTTTACACTTTATGACAGGCAACCCCAAACTCGGTCCTCGAGGGCCGCTGTCCTGCAGGTTTTAAGGGTTTCCCTGCTTTAGCACAGCTGATTATCACAAATGCAGTAGAGCAGAAGCCTGTTAATCAGTTTTCAATTGAAATCAGCTGTGCTGGAGCAAGGAAATCTCTAAAACCTGCAGGACAGCGGCCCTCAAGGACCAAGTTTGGGGATGCCTGCTTTATGACAATTGTGTGAAAGCTGGTGCATGCATGCTTCAGTTCGTAAATTTGACTACCTTCTTACAGTATTAAGGCTTCTAAGTTCTGTTTACTCATTGCTTGGTTCTGTTTCTTGAGCCTTAACCTCCTCTGAACATGAGACAGGGAGGGGATCCATCTTACATCAGTGGTTCTACATCCTGGTTCTCAAGTACCACTGCACTGCATGTTTTAGATTTCACCTCACTGCAACATACCTGACGTATACTTGAATAATTAACAGGATTCTGCAGCACTTGATGGCTGCTAAGTATGTCATGCAATTA